CTTCGAGCCTGGTGATTTGGTTTGGGTTCATATGAGGAAGGAGGGATTTCCTTCAAAAAGGAAGACAAAATTGCACCCTAGAGGAGATGGACCATTTAAAGTACTTGAAAGAATTGGAGATAATGCTTACAAATTGGACCTTCCAGGTGAGTTTCAAGTAAGTGCTACTTTCAATGTTGCTGACTTATCCTTGTTTGATGTAGGTTCAAATTCGAGGACGAATTCTTTTCAAGAGGAGGGGAATGATAGCTTCATGGACAAGGATAAAGCTGTAGAAGCACCAAGAAAGCCATTCACAAGGTCTCAAGCTAAGGAGAAGCAAGACAAGGTTGTTGGGCTTCAATTGGAGGTCAAGAAGGCGCTAATGGGTGAAGAAGAGCTCAAAAATTATGGAGAGGATTTAGCTAAGTGCTACACTTATTTCATGGTCCAAGTCCAAGTCCAAGAGGAGGTTGATTGGGGTCCAAGCACCAGCCAAGGAGGGCCTAAATTAGGCGCCTAAATCAACTCACAAAGGAGCCAACTTGGCGCCCAAGTTTCCTTATTTTGTTTCCTAGTTTGTTAGGACATATTTGATGCTTTCCTAGGTAGTTAAGGTTTTGTTTTTCTTTTCCTAAGATTATTGGAATTACTTTCCAAGATTGACTTGGTTTTTGTTTCCTAGAGTTTTACCTTTTCCTATGGTAGTTGGACATGTTGTCCAAAGTAGTTTAGGACTTTATTTCCTTGCTTTTTAGGTAGAATTTCGTGACCCCTTCCCTATATAAAGGGGTATCTTCTTTGCTTTTAGACTTAGACTATTATCAATAAAAATTGTGAGATTTTTCTTGCACTCTTGTGTGTGGCTACTCTTGGATTTATTCTTCAAGGCTCAACTTAAGGTGGTAAGATTAAACTCTTTTGAAATCTTAGATCACTTCTAAGTATTCAAGAAAGGTGATAAGTTTAGGCCTATTGTTGTTCTTGTTATTCTAAAGGGTCGGGTTTCACAATCTATCTCTTGTTTTTAATTCTCTACCAAAGGCGATTAGTTCTTTGTTAGCTAATTGTTGCTGTTAGGATTCAACTTCAAGAATAGACTTCTTGAATTCAAGAAACTCTTTCTTGAATTCAATCTATCTTTAAATTTCCGTCCTTTTTTTGTTTCTTTATTTTTTTTTAACTTCCGCACGTTTCTTATTTTTCTTAGTAATTCTTGAATCTCCTATCGTGTTGTTATCAACCGGGTTCCGGAACCAAAATACAGACCCGATACCAACGAGATCAACTATTAACCAATTTCTCAAAACTATTATAATTTCAGTTTAACAATTTTCATCAAAAGTTTATTTCTCGGGCTAGGGACCTCGGAATTTGATTCTGGGCATACGCCCAAGTCCCATATTTTACTACGGACCCTCCGGGACCGTCAAAATACGGGTCCGGATTCGTTTACTCAGAATGTTGATCAAAGTCAACTAAAATCAACTTTGAAAGGCAAAAATTATTATTTTTCTCAAATTTTCACATAAAGGCTTTCCGGAAACGTACCCGGACTACGCACGCAAATCGAGAAGAAATAAAATGAGGTTTTGAAGGCCTCAAAACCCCGAATTGGGTTCTAAAACACAAGATGACCTTTCGGGTCATCAGAGTTATTAAGCAGGACAATGGTCAAATTTTGTTAGAGATAGATACGAAGACAAGAACACGGAAAGCTCATGAGCTTAATTGAGAAATTTTATTCATTTCACCTATACTCCTTGTAGATTTTTATTTAGTTCACATACAATCAAATCTGGTTTAAGTTGGATCAATGTAAGTGCAATTATAGTTGGTGGAAAGACTGGTCAATTCACGTTTATTATAGTATTTATGATTAACTACATCAAAAAATTATTTTAAAAAAATCATAGTTAAAGAAAAAAAAAAGGTTCGATTTCCCAAGTATTAATATATATTATATAGTGACGTTCTTAGAAGGGAGTAATCATAACATCCAATTAACTGATGATAACTTGGGAAACAGAAAGAAGAGATAAAAATAAGATGGAGTAGTGAGAACTAAGATGGAGTAGGTTTACAAGTTGGCTACTATATATATATA